CTATGCACAATGGGGATAGAGCAAGAAATAAGAATGCCTTTGATTTACAGTGTAGTGGTAGCAGAACCAAGAAAAGGAGCAACTGCAGAAAGCAGTGGGTTCCATTACAGGTAAGGAGAGAGGACATGAATGATTTAGAAAAGAGAAGCATAACACATCCTGAAGTGGTTTAGTAGAAACAAAAAAAAATGGAAATACCCAAAAAAGTAATGTCATTGAGTAGCTGACATCTTCACTCACTTCTAAAGGATGAATTAAGGGTGATTCAGGCCAGAAGTGTCAGGGATTAAGAGAGCAGGCATTCCCGTTGCATCAAGGGGCCAGCTAAGAGCCCAGAAGGGGGAAAACCAGCACTGCCTTGTTAGGTCAGAAGTAATATCTCAAAATACTCAGGAGTGCAGTGATTTGCACCTGGTGATAACTTCTACGTAGAATTGATGCAAAAAGTAGAGACTGAAGAGTTTAAAGCAAGTTTGGAGCTGGAGTATGCTAGAAAAATGACTGTCACTATTTTAGTTACTCCCCTCCCCCATGGTCTTTCTATGTAAGCATAGCAGGATGGGAATGGAAATTATCATCTTCATAGTGTCCACTCAGGCTGGACTATTACCAATTGATCACGTGATTTTGCCTGACTTCCTGTTCCACACTTCTTTTTTTTTTTCCACCGAGTATAGAAAACTCTTCTCACCCATCCTATCAAGCATTTCCAAAGATCCAGATCAACATTTTATTTTTCAGTTGTTTTCTATATACAAAAATTTGCAGGGTACCTGTGGCTCACGTCTGCAATCTTAGCTACCCAGGAGGCTGATGTGAGGATTACAATTTGAAGCCATCTAGGAAAGAAACATCTTAAGACTCTTATCACCAATTAATCACTGAAAAAGCCATGGAGCCACGGAGCCATGCCTTAAGTAGTAGAGAGCTAGCATTGAGCAAGAAAGTTCAGAGACAGTGTTCAGGCTCTGAGTTCTAGCCCCGAGACCTGCATACACACCAAAAAGTCTTGGGTAGTTCTGGAAATTATAACTGAGTGTCTTCCATATGGAACAAGTATACAGTCAATGAATGTCTATGAATTTTTAATAGCTTTGAATGATTTAAAGTGAAGGGTAGACAAAGGGAGGTTAGATTAATTTTGGACAATTGTATATACATATTGAGCCTACACTAATAATAATAATAATAATAATAATTCTAGCTCTATGTTCTTAAGCTTAGAGTAATGTTATTTCAAAATCTTACTTTATCTAGTTCGCAGTACTTTATAAGCAAAGTGTTTCTTGGAAAGACTTTCTACTTCATGTGGCTACAAACCTTGAATGCAAGTATCCTGACAGCTATACCAGTGGATTCCTAAAATTTGTTATCATCTCAACTTGGAATTTTACCTTTTTTTAGCTCACCTAAGACATAGAATAAAAGCAAAAGAAAGGAAGAAAGAAAGGAAGGAAGGAAGGAAGGAAGGAAGGAAGGAAGGAAGGAAGGAAGGAAGGAAGAAAGAAAGAAAGAAAGAAAGAAAGAAAGAAAGAAAAAGAAAGAAAGAAAGAAAGAAAGAAAGGGAAATCCACAACCCAGGGAAATTTGAAGGTCAAAAATTTATCAAACATTGAAATTTACTTATGGTTCAGAAGGCAATACAGGGCCCTTGCAAGGCCTCAGTCATTACTTTTGTCACTAACTATCAATGTATTTAAAAGAGTACAACTTACTAGAATACAAAGCATAGTCAAACTAGCAGAATGACAGATCAAAATGTGCTTTTTTTTCTCAAGATAATATAATGGATAGAAAAGTATTAACAATAACTCCTTAGGTAATGGAGTAAACTACTTCATTAAGTGGTAAAACTATCCATAGTTACAAACTTATAATCAATGCAAGTGTCTTATAAATGGGTGTATCTGGCAAAGAGTTATCAAGAAATGTGAATCTGCAGTATTTTATGATCCCTCCCATCTCAAATCATTATTTGCATATAGGTACAGAAGTATTTTAATCATTACAGTAATACTAATGATACTTTTAATTCAGTCATTATCAATGACCTGTGTGTAAACTGAAAGGCATGTCAAAGAGGAAATGAATTTATTACATAATTAACTTTGTTCAGAGTCCAAGCTATAAAAGACACTATTCATTGGGTACAGAAGATTTCTTCTTGAACTGCTTCATGATAATCAAGAAGGACATTGTTGGGTCTACTTGAATTTCAAGTCAGGGATGTTCTTTACTGCTGAAACAAGCATTTCTATTTCAGAACTGCTTCATGGGCCTTCAGATGGTTTGCTAAATATACTTAGCATTCAAGGATATGTGCATTTTCCAACAATTGCATTAGACGATGCTTATATATACACACACAAAAATGCAACTTGCTTTTAACAGAATCATAAAACCTTTAAATATGATCCAAGTTTTGCAGAATTAGGAAAAATCATAATGGAGTTCAGTTTTTCAGACACATGCAGATGAAGCAATGAAACTTAATTTAAAATCTTTAAAAAATTATCAAGCCTATTGTTATCTAGTCATAACTCAGTCACAAATACCATACACACATCTCTGTTAAATGGTCTGATTTAACAATACCAGTCATATCCTAAGAAAATTAAACTAGAAAAAAAAAATGATATATCGGTCTTTTCTAATTTTGGTAACAGAAAACCATGTCATGTAATATGGTCCAGAAATGGCTGGTAACAGGAACTTGTTTTCTGATCTGACTGCCATGTGACTACAGGAATAAATATTCCCCAGAGAACAATTCGAATTGGCTTTCTTTATTTATTCTTTTTAAAAAATTACCTTCTCTTCTGGTAATAATTGGAGCAACAGACAGGAAACAGCTTCGTGTCTGGCTTGTGTTCAGAGAAGATTCATAACTCTTCTGGGTATTGTGACTACCTCTATGTCCTGTTCTTATCTCTTACACAGAAGAGAGTTTATGAGACACACCAGGCTCTGAAAGGGTCACACTAGATGTGGATTGGGAATGCAAGATTCAAACTATCTACTTAGGGCACAGCCTCACCTTTGATAATTTGCTTCCTTAGCTAGTATAGAGATGGATTATGGAATGATGGCAGTGATCCAAATAAGGATGAATATTTCCTGTATTGTTTCTAACTCCAGAATAGGATAGGCCATTTAATGGGCTATAGTAATGAACTTTCATTTGCCATTTCTGTCTTCAACTTTCTCTTCATGATAGAATAAAATTGAATAAAGACTTAACAATGAAAAATTTCCAAAGAAGTATTTTGAAGGTATTCTTTTTAATAGTCAAGGTAAGAGGTGATTAAAAAGGGCATATCTCAGGAACTGAAGAAAAAAAAGGAATGGGGTTAGAAATAATAAGATCCATGGGGGGAAGGGAAAGAGGGAGAAAAAGGAGGGAGATGGTAACAAGTTCAACAAGATATGTACTCATTACGTAAGGTAATGAGTATTTTAATCACCAAAAGAAAAAAGAAAATGGAAAAAAAAAGGTAAGACCCCCCAAATGGAGCAACCTGGATATAAAAAAAATAATGAATGCAAATACTACAGTTGCATTAAACAAGAATGAAAGTCTCAAACATTATTATTTGATTTTGAAGGACAATATAAGTAGGAAGGAGAGAGAGAAGAAAGGAGATATAAGGAGGAGATACTTTGCATAGCAGCATTCCAAAGATGATGCTGTATAAAGAAAAATGGGTGTACAGATTAAAGTTTTAGAAAAATAAATTTTGGACTGTCAGAAAGCAGACATATTATCTAAAAGAGAGAGAATTCAGAAGTTAGTTGGATGTGATATATAAGAGATCACATTACATACAAATCTTATTATTTTAAATGGTTATATAGTTATAATTTAAAATCAGAAAGGATTTAGAGGAATAAGTACAAATTTCCTTAGTCTGGGAAGTGATCTAGTGGTAAAATTCAGGATAATATGTAATGGAGGCAGAATCAGAATAGAAAAAGTGAAGATCCTCAGACTTGCTGGATATGAATTATTCTCATCCTAATTGAGACCAAATATAACAATCAGATTGATATTCAAGCACATAAGGACTAACGTCATGTACTGTTTTGAGTGAGGAAATGGTACTTTTGGTTCCTCCTTCTTAGGCACAAATGAGAATTTAATAGTGAATACTTAGAATTAAGATTTAGAAGAAAAAGAGGGTTTTCCTTTTTTCTTTCTTTATTATTCCTTAGTTTTTAGCTACTTTCCTTGAGAAATAGCAACAGGAAATATTTCAGCACATGTGCCGATTAATATTAGGATTTGTAGTGTTCCCAAAAAAAGACCTATTTGTTGAAAGCTTGACCACAAACAGTTGGTACTATTTTTTCAAGGTTCTGAAAGCTTTAGGAGATAGGATCTAACTAGAGGAGGTAGGTCACTGTAAGAGAGTCCTTTTAGGAGAGCTATCCCAGTTTTCTCCTTCCACTTCTATCCTCTTTGCTCCATTAAGTCTTCTGGCCATGATGAATTTCCCACAGGAAACCATGATTAAAAAGCAAAACAAAACAAAACATTTTTTCTCTTAAGGTGTTTCTATGTTTTTCCTGTCTAGTATTTTTGCCATAGTTACACAAAAGTAACTAATATAGATTGAAATGTAGACATGTAATAGGGCTTCAAAAATATATAGAAATTGAACAATCAATGATCTAAAATAATAAAACTGAAGCTGGTATGGAGTGATATGCTTGAGAATGTACTAAAACCCTAAAGAACATGAGAAGATTTCATCCTACACAAAGAAGTTCAGGGAAAGGAGAACAGAATGTATAAGATTGACAACAAAAATCTATGTCCTACACTGAACAAGATTCTAAACAGCTCAGTCTTTAGATTTGTCCAAACAAAAATAGTTTATTTCCAACAATCTTTGGGGCTGCATTGAAGTTTTTCTGCTGAAATCAACCACATAATGACAAGAGGACAATAAGTATGTCTTCAAAAATAAAGTAGAAGGAGAAATATTGAGCAGACCTACCTTTTGTAGAGAAGAATAGCAATGACAATGCAGATGATAAAGACCACTGCGAGGACAGGCCCTACAACCCAGATCAAGCCTTCCTCTTCATCTGTGATTGGCTGTGGGTCCAGATCCATTGACACAACAGGGTCAGAATAGGGGCTGGTTGCATACATCTTCTGAGGAAAAGCAGAGTCTATTTTAGTTTAAAAAGTGATGGCTTTCTTTTTTAATTGTCAAGGTGATATACAGAGGGGTTACAGTTACATACCTAAGGTAGTGAGTGCTTTCCTTTTTGAACGTTGTTACCCCTCCCTCATTTTCTCCCACTTTCCCTTCTACCCAATCCCCTCAAAATAGTAAAGTTCATTTCCAATATGCTGTCTTGTGAATATCACTGTTGCATTTGTTTGCACTTTATACTTTGTCTCACCATGTTGTTATTCCCCTTCCTTTCCCTAAGTCAGATAAAGTATACACAATACACAGGCTACCAAAATCAAATACAGTGACAACAGGGTATAAACCATAGGGAAAAAAATAATAGAAGAAAGCTGAAACAACTAACATAATATATTAAAAACAAGAAAGAAAAATCTCTTGTTTCCATAATTTGGAGTTCATTTAGCTTACCATCATCTTATATGATGATATAAGCTATTGAGCTACTGTGATCGTCTTCTAGGATGATCCAGACATATACTACTTATTAAAAAATAAGGGAAAACATGGGATCCATGTTTCTGTGGGCCTGGCTTACTTCACTTGATATAATTTTTTCCAAGTATTTCCATTTTTTAACAAATGGGACAATGTCATTTTTCTGATGGAAGCATAGAATTCCATTGTGTATATATACCACATTTTCATGATGCATTCATCTACTAAGGGGCATCTGGGTTGGTTCCTTATCTTAGCTATGGTAAATAATGCTGTAATGAACATGATTTTGCTGGTAGCTTTAGTATGGCTTTGTTTGTGATCATTTGGGTTAATGCCCAGAAGTAAGACTTCTAGGTCATAGAAAGATCTATGTTTAGTCTTTTGAGGAATCTCTTGAGAGCATCATTCATATTAGAAAGATGAAAAAGTCCAAGACAATGAAGTTGAGGACAAATGGATGGAGGATATTAGTTGGGTACAAAGGGAAGGAATGGAGGGAATGTAAGGAAAGAACAAAGCACAGAAGGAAGAGAAGAGAGAGTGCAACATCATTTTCTTTATAGAGTGAAATATAATTATTCATAATGGTATGAATTCACTGCTAAGTTTTCAATGAGAACTATATATAATAATGAAAAATTGATGAAGTGTAAAATATCAATAACTAACTGTCCCAATATATTTGATATACATTGTACCAATGTTTAGTTGCTCTCTGAAAATCAAGGGAAACATCAGAGTTCCAGACTTAAGGCATTACAACTTAAATATACCTACTCTAAAAATTTGCAATCCAAAAATGCTCTGGAATCTAAAATACTCTGAAATCTAAACTGCTTTGAGCAATTTCAAAATATGTCATATTTCAGACTTTTGGATTAGAGAGGTTATACAGATAAATGTATAAATATTCCAAAATTGAAAAAAAATCTCAGAAATCAGGAATACTTCTAGGCCCAAATATACTAGACAGGAGATGATCTGCATTACATGGTTAAAAAGATGGAAGTTAATTAAATGTTAAATTTTGACCATGCTCCTTTGGTTCATTGTTAGGACAAAAACAATGGAAGGCTAAGTCTACAATTCATAAAGAGAACTGCATTCTAATGGTCAGATAATAGATGCAAAGTTATATAGAACTAATGTTGCTTTCAAAAAGAATGTTTCAAAAAGAAAGATTTTTTTAGAACTTTAAAGAAGTTACCATTTATGTTTGCATCTTGTCTTATTGCTGTAGCTAGGCATTCTAATACTAGATTGAAGAGCAGTGGAGAGAGTTGGACATCCTTGTCTTGTTCCTCAGTTTAGAGGAAATGGCTTTAGCTTTTCATCATTGAGTATAATGCTGGCTGTAGGTTTGTCATATACAGCCTTTATTGTATTGAGGAATGTTCCATGGATTCCTAATTTTTCTAGAACCTTCATCATAAAGGGGTGTTGGATCTTGTCAAATGCTTTTTCTGCATCTATTGAGATAACCATGTGGTTCTTATCCTTGATCTTGTTGATGTGTGAATTATGTTAATTGATTTTCGTATATTGAACCAGCTTTGCATCCCTGAAATGAATCCTGTTTGATCGTGGTGTATGATTTTTTGGATGAATTGTTGAAGTCGATTGGCCAAAATTTTGTTGAGAAGTTTTGCATCAATGTTCATCAAAGAAATTGGTCTATAGTTCTCTTTCTTTGATGAGTCCCTGCCTGGTTTTGGGATGAGGGCTATTATGGCTTCATAGAATGAGTTCAAATGATCACAAACAAGACCATACTAAAGCTACCAGCACAACTATGTTTATCGCAGCATTATATACCATAGCTAAGATATGGAACCAATCCAGATGCACCTCAGTAGATGAATGGGTCAAGAAAATGTGGTATATATACACAATGAAATTCTATGCCTCCATCAGAAAGAATGCCATTGCCCATTTGTTAGGAAATGGAAATATTTGGAAAAAATTATATTAAGTGAAGTAAGCCAGGACCAAAGAAACATAGGTCCCATGGTTTCCCTTATTTGCAACAACTAGTATATGTTTGAGTCAAGTAGAAAAGGTAAGATAAGTTGATGTTAGGGAATGAACCCCAAGATAAGTATTCAAAATGTTTTTTTTCTTTCATGCAATTGTTTCTAACATATTTATAAGATGATTACTATGTTGCTTTGTATGTCCCTCCCCCACAGTATAACCCCTGCTTTCACTGTATTTGATGTTGGTATAATTTCTGGAGGGGAAGGGCAAAAACAAATCGTTTAACTAGGGATACAGGTGGACCCATTGCAACAATGAGATATACAAGTCGCTATGTCAAAAAATGAACTTTACAACTTTGGTGGGGGGGGGGATAAGGTGGGGGGAGGTGGGAGGAGTATGGGAAGGGATGGGAAGGGAAAACGAAGAGGAGGCAACAATGCTTGATAAGAAATGTACTCGTTATCTTGCCCATGTAATAGTAACTCCTCTATATGGTATTCTCACAATAATAAAAAAAAGAAGTTCCCATTTAATTTTGTTAGAGGTATGTTTGGAGGTTGCTTTGCTGTTTCCAACAAATAATGTATACTTTTGAAACTTACATTTTCTTGGTAAAGGGAAGTACTACTGAATGTCTATGAACTTTGTTTCTGTAATTTTCTATTTCAGAAAAATCTTCTCATAATTCTTTCGCTGAAGTATTTCCATAATTCCGTCTATTAAAACTTTTTCCTACTTAATAAACAATTCATACTCATTGGACATCTTGGTTTTCCTGATTCTCTATCACATCTCACTCAAACATCAACACTGGTGTTATTAACTAATTTGCAAATCTAATTGCTTTTACTCAGTTTTTACTCTTCTGAATATCTTTCTCAGATTTGCTCTGGTTGACAAAGACTGTGTGTGTGTGTGTGTGTGTGTGTGTGTGTGTGTGTGTGTGTGTGTGTGTGTGTGCACGAGTCAGTACTGGGATGTGAACCCGTATCTATTTTATTCAAGGCTGATGCACTACAAATTGAGCTACAGTTCCATTTCAGCTTTTCATGGTCAACTGGAGATAAGAATCTCAGGGACATTTCTGCCTTGGCTGGCTTTGAGGCTTCATCCTCAAATTTCAGCTTCCTGAGTAGGATTATGGGATGTGAACAAATGGCATTCAGGTGACCAAAGATTTTTAAAAACATCTCTTTATGACTTTCTTAGTTCTAAATTCAATTGCTTCCTTTCTAATTTTTCCTAGTGATCTTCAGATCTCAGACTCCTCAGTAGAAGGATTATAAGGTGTGAACCACTGACACAAAGCTCACTGAAGATATTTTTTCAATTTCTCTCTTTGATTTTAATATTTCTAAATTTGTCTCCTTCCTAAACTCTCCAACCTGCTTGAACTCTATTAATAAAGTTTGATTCCTTTGACTGTGTATCTCAGGGGGCAGTATTCTTAAGTTTTGCTGTTCACTAGCCTGCCTTTCTCAACCCTAACTTTAACTGCTAGCTTGTGAACAGATTATTTCCTCATTAATGTTCCTAAACTCAGGAACTCTACTAATTTCCAAACTTTCCCATACACATCTTCTTCTGGTTTTCCACGTATTTCTTATCTCACTATCAATGAGATTATTGACTTTACTTCTCAATGACATACATGTCACCAGGCTTATATGTTACCTCTACAGTCTCATGGTTACTATTGTTAATATAGGATATAATTCATGCCCTCCTGTCCATACTAAGAATTTTTTCTTCCTTCTAATCATCATAACTGCTGTTAGAGTTATTGTCCTAAATTGAAACCATTCTTAAGAGGCTCTGGTAATCTCTAGTTAAAACCTAAGTATCTTCTCATGATTCTCTAGAGCCCTCACAATTTTTCCAACCACATCTAACCAATTCTGCCCCAGTGAGCCTTTTTGCTACAGTTCCATGAATGTTCATTCTATTCTTGCTCCTTAACACTCTAACAATTTCCACAACATTTAGTTCTTAAAATCCAACCACTCTCCAAAGACCCACTTAAGTACATCCTCCTAACGGGAAGAAATAAGCCATTACAAAAATATACACATGAAAATAACATATGTAAAGAATTTACTTAGTCTTTTATACCTTTTTATATAGTGTCCACCATACTTTGTTTTAAATTTGTATATATGCTTCATTTCGTTTAATGAAACTTTAAAATCCTGGAAGGTAAGGCTTTATATACTCTTTGCATTTATATGTGACTAGTATAGACTTTGCATTTAGTAAGTTCTCAGCAAATCTGGGATAAAATAATGAGTAACTGATCTTTTCCAATGGCTGAAACATGAGTGAAAATGCCCATTTTTCAAGATCAGCAAATATATGTTTGTTTTTGTTTTCTGTCGGTTGTGGGGCTTGAATTCTAGGCTGGGAGCTGTCGTCTCTCAGCTCTTCAGCTCAAGGTTAGCACTTTACCACTTGAGCCACAGTGCCACTTCTGACTTTTTCTGTTTATATGGTGCTGAGGAATTGAACCTAGGTCCTCATGCATGCGAAGCAAGCACTCTAACACTGAGCCACCTTCCCAACCCAAATATATGTATTTTTAAAACATTTTACACTTTCAAGATTTATTATAAAGCTACAGTAATCAAGACAATGGGATATTAGTTTCAAGATGGAAAACCTGGTCAATGGAAGCCAACAGAGTCCAGAAACAGATCCTCAAATATGCAGAGAGCTGATTTTCAACAAACATACCAAGCTAAGGAAGTGGAGTTAAAGGCTGTGTCCACTTCTTAAACTTGGTAATCTGTGTGCCAATAACATACAAATGATGTCTGAATGTTTTTAATGTTTTTAGCTTCCTCCGTCTTTTAAAGCACAGTTAAGGCATATATTCTGAATGTTATTGCAATAAGAATGCATTTCCCCGAATTATTATATTTTACTCTTTCTTCCTATTTTTTCATTTGCTCAGAAAAGGAACTCACCTGACTTTCTAATATATCAATACAAGATGAAAGCTTAGTACACATTTTCAGCCTTTCAGAAGCCAGAGAAAGAAAAGGAAAGACACATGAGAGAGGAGAGAGAGAGAGAGAAAGAGAGACAGCGACTGAGACTAAGATAGAAAGACAGAGACAGAGACTGAGATAGAAAGAGGACATGGGATGTATAGATATAATAAGAATTTACAAACAGAACTTGAAAAATTGACTCTATATAGCCAAAAATAGAATTTGTATTAAAATTTTTGCTTTGATTTATACTTGCTCTTATTTTGTAGATTATACTCAAATTGATGGAGTAAGCATAAACTCAATCCATGATTTGAAATTCTTTAATAATAAGGGGGTTTGAACTACCATCCTCAGATCTCAGCCTCCTGAGTAGCTAAGATTATAGATGTGAGCCTCTGGCACCCAGCTGAGGTAAGACTTGGTTAATCAAGATGGAACATTGCAACAATGAGATGTACAAGGCGTTATGTCGAAAAACGAACTTTGCAACTTTGGTGGGGGCAGGGGGAGGGAGATGGGAAGGGATGGGAAGGGATGGGAAGGGAAAACAAAAGAGGAGGCATGCTTGAAAAGAAATGTACTCATTATCTTGCCCATGTAATTGTAACCCTCTCTATACAGTATTTTCACAATTAAAAAAAATAGATGGAAATCTAAGCAGAATTTTTTCCAAAACACATAGATTTTCTGTCTGAATCAGGAAACAGAGCCATAATAATATGGAAAACAAAGCCATGGAAGTTGAAAAGTAGAATTGCTCTTTGGGTAAGAATAATAAAATAAGACTGAATTTGAAGTCATTTTAAAACTAGTTCTCTAGTATTCTTAATATGAAAGAATAGATTGAGGGAGGCGCATGTCTTTGATGGAAGAGGCTAGAGAGGGGAGAAATGATTTTTGTCCCTTCAAATTGCCAACCAATCAATAGAAGGTTTGGATATTATTAACAGACATGCAAATCTGAAGCTTACAAAAAACCTACATTACTATAAAATTAGAAGAGTTGGATGCAATACTTGGCTATAAAGTAAAATGAGAGTAATGTCAAGAAATAAGATGGTGAAAGAAGAATTAAGTTTTGGTGTGTATTATGTATTTATTAAAAATAAATGACAGAAAAGTAAAACAGGCTCTGTTGGGGTGAGTATGGACAATTGGGTGAGAGGGAATGGGAGAGAGTAAATGAGAGTAAATAATGGTTCAAGTGCCTTATATGCATATATAAGCAAGAAACCAGTTGATGCTGTTTTAAGGTAGAGGGGAAAAGAAAAGAATAATAGAGGGCATTAAGATTAATGTGATAGGGGCTGGGAAGGTGGCTCAGTGGTAGAGCGCTTGCCTTGCATGCATGAGGCCCTGGGTTCGATTCCTGAGCACCACATAAGCAAAAAGAAAAAAAGCTGGAAGTGGCACTGTGGCTCAAGTGGTAGAGCGCTAGCCTTGAGCTGAAGAGCTGAGGGACAGCACCCAGGCCCAGAGTTCAGGCTCCACAACCGGACCCCCCCCCCAAAAAAAAAAGATTAATGTGATACACTGTATGCATATATTGAATGTCACAATGAAAGTCCCCTTGTAAAACTAATGCATGAATGAGAGTACTAAAATGAAAAGATGACATATTACAGATAAGATTTGACTATATACTGGTGAGGATAGATCTAAACACTTTTGAAGAGCATGGGGAGACTTCAGAAGCCAGTCTCTGAGAAAGTGCCATCGGTCTACATGATCTGTCTGATGAGACTTTTCTTTGCTGAATTTTCTGATTTACCTCAATGAGGTGAAAGTGCTTTTTGAAATCCGTCTAGAGACAAAAATATCTAAAGACAAAATTCTCTCGTCTACTTTTTTAAAGAATGAGATGCTTTCCAATATCCCATTTCCTTGAGGTTCTTTTTTTTTAAAGTTTTCAACTAGAGAGAACATGTTCTGTATATTAAAATTCCAGGAAAGCCTTCACTGTGTTTTGAAATGGCATTTTGCACACAAAGGTAAATCAGGCTGCCTTAGTGTTTTGATTTTCTGTAAGGGAGTTCCTTCAGTCATTTGAGTAACAGCCTCACAGTCTACACTAACCCCTGATGTGGAAAAACCTTTGAGATATTCTGAACTTCTTATATACAGAAAGTGGCTGGCTCAATGAACTGCCGTGCCTGTCAGATTTAAGTTCCGATTTAAAATGATACAATTTGGAATATGTATATTAAATGTTAATATAAACTGTCAGTTCAAAATCGACCCCACTTCTCATCTACAATTTCTTCCCTCTTGTTTTGTTTAAAATCCAAAGCCATTGAAGCATAAAATGGCAGAAGAGCAAGATGACTTACATAAGACAACTCATTATTTAAACTTCTTTATGAATTCTTTCATTGATTTTTTTTTCTTGGGCTTTAATGATAAAGTCACTCATAAGTTGCTGTAATTATGGAAGCTGATTGTACTTCTTTCTTAGATTGACTTTCTGGTGAGGCAGGCTAGAAGCACTATGTCCTCACTGGCAGGCATAGAAGAATAATTATTCTCCAATATTTTCAAATATTTCCAAATCGAATATATTAAATTACAGAGCTTGTTTCACATTGTAATCACAATATGAAGTAATAACAATGACTATCCCAAATATTCCATGGGATGAGAATGGTATTTTATTTTTCTGAAAATGGTCATCTTTAATGAATGAGAGAAGAGTAGGCAGAGATTAATATTCTATTTTGTATGTTACGTTGATGGGTCTAAAGAACTAGGACCCAACTGTCTAGAATTTCATACACTAGAAGTATACCTGAACTCTTGTCATCTATTATCATATTGTAAAGTAGGGCTATGTGATATATCCAGCCATGTTGGAAGATTAACCATCCTATTTCTACATATAAAAGACAGCTCATGAGAAATAATTACGATGAAGATTCCTATGTATTCCCAAATAACCACATAGTGTGCTGGTGAAAATGTGTAGTTCTAGCATAGAAAACAGATGCCATCACAAATTAACTTACAGACTCTGCATGTTCCATCACCGCTAACACGAAGAAGACATATTCTTGACCGCTTTGGAGTTGCTTGTTTGTAAATCCACCATAATGCTTGTCATCCCCCAGGGTGAACTCGGTAGGCAGAACATCAAAGTGAGCTGCAATATATGGCTTTAATTCGACTTCTCTCCCATAACGGATGCTTCTGCGTTTCCTAGATATCTCCTTAAGCAGCTTAAAGAAAAAGTGAGAAGCGGAGAATGAAATGTAAACAACTATACAAATTATTGATGTTAAAAAAGGTGAAATGCTTAAAAGGGTGAAATCAGTTCATGACTGGGAATCACCCATATAAAATTTGTCCACATTACACAACACAGGCTACCACCACGGGCTTTCGGGTAGTTTGATCCTTCAAATCCTGTTTTCCTCTTAAGGCCAGGACTAGTTATAAACACAGGGCACTTAGATTTTTATTGGTATAGTGTCTATCATTTCCTACTCAACTGAAAATCTTTCAGAGGCGATTGTGCCTTGTTAGTTGTCTAAGAAAGCCAGCATGATTCATGGTAACCTGACCTTGCAGGAGATTTATTTACTAAGTAGTAACCTAATTGAAAAGCATTGAAAACTTCAGATATGGCTATATTTTGGAGGAAGTTAGTACCGTTTACATTATTTTCAGTAATAAGCTATATGATTAAATTCTCTCAAAAATCTAATGAGTACCTTTTGATTAAAATTAGTAATTAGCTATTGTCACTTATTTTACAATTTCTGGCTTGACTTGACTCCTTGATATGTGATTTCTCACTTTGTTCTGCACCCAACTTTCCATTGACTCTAATTCTCTGGGGAGTTTGACTGTCTTACCTGTCTTACCAAAGACACAGGCAGGGTGGATAAAAAGTAAATGTTTATATTCTGAAGAAAATAATCTTTCATATATATTTATAAATACATAGATACATAGATGATGCCTGCATTTGTAAAAAATGTATAACTTTTAGATAATCAAACTTGACTCTTATTAGGAGAAAATAGTACAAATAAAGGTTGACTTCAAGATGATATCAAAGTTTTTTTTTCTTTTCCCAATACAAAGTCTATAATTGGAAAAAAAGACTATCAGTCTGAGATACAATGTGAGGTAAGTAGCAATTTTTAACAGCTTCTTAGAATTTTTTAATATATATTTTGATTGTAAAGATCTGTACAAAGGGGTTACAGTTACATGAGTAAGGTAATGCATACATTTCCTATTGAGCATTGTTACCCCCTCCTTTGTTTCTCCCCCACCATCCCTTCCCTCTCCACCTCCTCAACTTCTCCCTCCCCATCCCCCAAAACCGTAAAGTTCATTTTCAACATAGTGTCTGCTACATCTCATTGTTACAATGGGTCAACCTGTATCCTTATCTCAACATTTTGTTATTTCCCTTACCCTCCCCAAATTAGAAAAATGAATATACAAGATGCAGGGCACTGGAATCAAATACAGGGACAACAGGGGTTATACCATGGGGAAAGAGCATACAAAAGAAACAAAAAAAAAATCACAGAGTACATTGTAAGTATATTAAAAACAACAGCAAGAAAGATAAAAACTTTTGTCTCCCTGTCTTGGGGTTCATTTCCCTTAGCATCATCTTATATGATCATGTGTACATCGCTTTTGACCTTTTCTGCTTGTCTTAGACATACACTAGGTATTGCAAATAAGGGAAACCATGGGACCTATTTCTTAGAATTATTATTTGTGTTAACATCTGTGTAGAAAAGGTTGCATGTGTGAGGACAAATTGGAAAAACGTCTGTGCAAACTCTTTCTCCATTTGGATAAGCAAACATAAAGTACTTATGGAAAGGTAGGGAAGCTATTCACTTCCCTTCCTTTTGTAAATTGAAAATTAATCCTACACACAAAAGTAGTGATATCTGTTTAATAGAATGTGACAATGCAAAATCAATCACTCCTGTGATGAAGATGGCAGCAGACCCTCTCTATGACAAACACTGATAGCTTTGCTAGCAGCCTGCTGTGTTACACTTTTCTACAGAGAATTCCAGGTGGATTCAGCTGGTTCCAAATTATACCCTAATGATGTAGAAAACATTTTTCAGGCTCCATAGATAATTTCTGTTCATGTTATTTGTCAATAATACTTAACTGGCAATATTCATATTTTTCTGTGAAATTTGACATTATTGATGCAATTAAAATTACACAAAATATTACATGAAATATGTGCTATACAGAGTACTGTATATTATTAGACTTTATATGTCCTGCTAACTAGTACCATCTGATGATCCATTTGGGTAGGTAATTCTAACTGATTAGCCAGTAAAAAAAAAAAAGGATAGAAATTTAGTACAACCTTTAAATTCTGTTGTCAAATGTAAGATGATTTACAATAGTGATGGTGACAGTGAGTCACTTATTGAAACCTTACTAGGTGCCAGATACTGCTCTACAAAAGCTCATTTAGACTTCATAATAACCACAGGAAGGTAGAGCACAAGGCGCTCCATTCCTAAATGAGGAAATTGAGGTGCAAAAGAAAGTCATCATGAATGGTTGACTCAGTGAGTGAAATAAAAAATAACACATAGAGATATTTTCAATTTTATTTTTACTTAATGGTTACACCAAATCACCAAATCTAGCATTACCTGCGTTTCAGCTTGAAAATCTCCACTATTTCAACTCAGTCTGTAAATAGATATGGATAGACATGTGTTGTTTTTTGTTGGTATTTCAAAAAAAAATCTCTGATACTAAAGGGTTAATGTAACAGTATACTTAAAAAGCCATTACAATGGTTATTGTTGATATGTAGTAAGTAGTAGTCAGTTACTTCAGGAGAAATGAACTACAGATGAGCTGAATTTTGAAGTTAGTTAGTCAAAAACATTTACCATCAGTTGTTTATGTGGCTGTGTTTCCTCTTCTACTTCACTGATCAAACCCTACCTTTGATTTTATTCCTATGTCATAGGTAGAGAGCTGTCATAATTCATCCAGATCACTGTCATTCCTCAGAAGCCCTTTTCCTAGGGTTTACTTAGTAGACTCCAGCGTACAAACTATTTGAGTGTTTTGTTTTTCTTTCCTTAAGTTCAGGGCAGTCATTCACCTGACCTTTAACGTGAAGATGGCTCTTATCTCTATAGGAGATATAATTGTGTGATATAATTTAAATTGGACAAGTGAGCTCAGTTAACACCAATTTATCCAGTATGCTAAAGTTTAAATCACTAGTGACTATGTTATTTTATGACACGCCTTTGAGGTACAGTGAGACAAAAAAATTCATGATATCTTACGTGCCCTGCCCTAGATTAAATATAACCAACATTTTAGGAGTTGTTCTGCCCCAAATTCATTTCAACTATCAATGGCTGTCTTGCCTAATTTGACCTTGAGAAGAGCAATTCCAGTCTATGAATTTATCATGTGAAGAGTATCCCCAGACAAAGAATAAATGAGTTCAGAGGATAATTTTGAGAGTAACTCTGTTTAGAAAGCCTCTTTCAGTATTTTAAGGACCCTAGATGTGAGGCCTACATGTAGAAATCCCCTTTGGACATTATTCTATTTGATGATATGGTTCCCACAATTTGAATTATAGGCCTTTCTGAGAACTTGGTCAAATACATTGAAGAGATGAGCACTGCTTTGTCAAACCTGGCAGTAGTGAGCTATAGATAAAATTACCACAATACTTTTATTATGCATGGTACAGAAAAAAAAGAAGTCCTGTCTTTAGGGATCAGAGATTAGATGAGTAAGCATAAAGAGAGGCCATAGCCTACTTTCATTTGTTCCTCTCCACAATAGTTACAAGATGTATTGGAAGTAATCCCAGAAGATATATCAAGGGCTTTGGTTCTTTATCAGAAATAATTTTCATTTTCCAGTCAATGCATATCTTATTTCTTCCACCATTAATTCTACAATGTGGTCTCAATTATATCAGTAAGAAAAGTGGGAAACAACCCATGCTGACCCAAAATTTTTGAATTAATAAAATATTCCTTATCAAACTATTATACAGATCCATGCACCACGAAACTTGCAGGATGATTAAAATGACCCTTTGTTATGGGAATCAGCGGCAACGACCTGGAGAATTTAATTGCAAGAAAGTTCAATGTCACATAGCCCTGTACTTTAATCCATTAGCACTGCTGTGCATTTTGGAGGTTAAAACCTGACTATAAAAAGGAATCACTTCCTACCATTTATTATCAAGTGGCTTCGCTACCAAGGAAAGCTTATTATTTAAAGGTATTTGATGTCATTTTGCTTCGGATCTCATTGCCTTGAAAACATCTTTTTAACACATAGAAATATTCATATTCTACAAGTTGCCCTTGCATTTCAAATCGAATTCCACCTAAAATGGCATGGCACCAATTGAGAGATTCAGCTAAGAGCTGATTAAAACAGTAAAGACAATCCCAGGATTAACTGATTAGCCAGTTGCAAGTTAAATCAGGTCAGGTCGGGCTTCAAACTCCTTACAAAACTTAATCAACTGATAGTTTTGAATTTTCTGATGAATAAGACTTCTTCACCGAATAATGTTTTTATTCCTTTATTATTAATAGATAAATAATGCATCTGAATTACTGAACCATATTACTAAAGTGTCATTACTAAATTGTACACCCCCCCCCCCCAGTAATCAAGTAGTAATGACATAATACCATTGGCCTGAATTTGAACTCATCTCACCTTCTGAACTTGGTCAAAGAGAACTTAGACAAGTGAGTTATATATAACTCAAATATAACTCAGACAAGCGAGGCTGGTGATGAATTTCACCTCTAGAGATGAAATAAACCAGCCAAAGATGGAAGTTTTTTGTTTTTAATCAGGACAGAGATTTTTTTTTTGCATAAAGACGTTTCAAATAAATATCAGCTATTAGTAATGTCAATAAAGAATTATTGTCCTTGATTTATTTGCACTAGCTTGAGATAGACAGACTAGAAATAGCAGGTTGTGTTATGCTATGACATATGATTTCTACTGTAAACAAATCTAATACATTAACTTTCTTTCATCTCCCCCAATGGGGATTTAGAAGTTACTAAAAGCAACATTGTATTAAAATAACAAAGCATGTCCTGCATATTTGAATGCAAATTCCAATCATGAGTTTGCTGAGGTCCTCTGTGATCTGGCTTCATAAAAGGAACCATAGTTTGATAACTAAATTGAAATATGTAATAGTTCAGTTTTTTGCCTCTTTATATTATGTATTAACTTTTAAAGAAAGACAAATGCTCTTTGTTAGAAGTATAAATTAAATATGCACCTAGTATGGTAAGATTTTAAGAATTAAAACCATAATTTAGTACTTTTTAAATCATTTGTTTTCATTTTCGCCATTGTCTAAAATGTTCTTCAGCAGTTAAATGCACTTTTTTTTGGAGCAGGGGAGTGCCAGTCTTGGAGTTTGAACTCAATGCCTAGGAACTGTCCCTGGGCTTTTTTGATCAAGGCTGGCATTCTACCATTTGAGCTACAGCTCTACTTCCACCTTTTCGTTGGTTAGTTGACCACAGTCTTTTCTGCCCATGCTAGCTTCAAATTGGAATCCTCAGATCTCAGCCTCCTGAGTACCAAGAGTTCCAGGCATGTGGCACTGTTGCACAACTCACGTACTTCTGATTATAAAAATCTTCGAGAATATAGAATAAGGCAAATATTTGCTGCTAGGTAGAATTTATGTTGACATTCTATTTTGCCTTTCATAATTCTACAACATGCTTTACAAAGGAAAGTGGAAAAATATTAAGGCCAACAAAGACTAGTCAGGTTGTAAACTATTGCAGCTACCTGTCTTTTAGTTAGAGTAAAAAAAGTAAGCCAGGCTCAAAGAAACATAGGTCCCATGGTTTCCCTATTTGCAATAACTAATATATGTCTAAGTCAAGCAGAAAAGTTCAGATAAGTTGATGTTGGGCGAAATGAACGCCAAGATAAGGACTCAAATGGTTTTTTTCTTTCTTGTGATTGTTTCTAACATATTTGTAAGATGATTTTTTTTTTGTTGCTTTGTATGTCCCTCCTCCACGGTATAACCACTGTTATCTCTGAATTGCTGTTGCTATAATTTGTGGAGGGGAAGGGAAAAAACAAATTGTTTAAATAGGGATACAGGCAGACCCAATGAGATGTACAAAAACGTTAGGTCAAAAAACGAACTTTGCAACTTTGGCCAGGGACGGGGGAGGGGGATGTTGGGGGGGGGATCACGGGGGGGGGGGGGGGGGGAGGAAGGAGGGGGGAAGGGGTAGATGGGAAGGGATGGGAAGGGGAAACAAAGAAGGAGGCTACAATGCTTGATAAGAAATGTACTCATTACCTTGCCCATGTAATTGTAACCCCTCTGTATGGTATTTTCACAATAATAATAATAATAAAAGGTCTTTGCTGGAATCCCTAGAGCATAGGAGGCCCACAGCACCACTGAACCATTCAAGTACTCAGATGTGCACAAGCAAGCCCTTGGATTAGATGCTGAAAAGCAGCCAGAGGAAGGAGAGAACAGTTAATAAACCAAACAATGAAAGACCCAGCCAACAAAGACATAGTTACCTCATCTAATTCCATTTCATCAGGACTCTCCCATGGCTTGATAAATTTCCCACGAGATTTCTTCAAAGGCACGATTATTATGTAGTAACCTCTGCACAGGAATAGATACATACAAATAAGGTTAGTTCAGAGGGGAGCCAAAATGGACACTGCCTTAAATCTTCCACAGACCAGTGATGAGGGCTGAAGGCAAATTATAGATATGGAGTGACTTGTCCATTTCTTACATCAATGACAAATAACCAACTGTTTGTTCAATTTTAGAAACAACATGCGCCGACATTTCTGTGTGACTTCAATGATCTCATATGGTAATATCGCCATGGTTGGCTGCTTTTTATGAGGTATCATAAACGGAACAGGAACAGTTTGTTAGGATCCTGGTGTTGGATGTATACAAGGCCAGGATATTGAAATCTACCACCAAAAGCTGCTAAACCACATAGTTTCTATGATATTCACTTATAAGACAGTTTCTAGTGCAAATATATATAATACAATTTTTTATCTCCAATAACCATGCATTATTTATTTATAAAATCCAAAATACTTTTATTTGTATTAAAAAAACATAAAAATGACTCATACTTGCAGAACAGTTAAATACAGTAAGATGTAAAAACTCCTCTTTCTTTTTAATGTACAAAATTGGAAAGCTTAAGGTAAGTACTGCAGAGATTTTAATATGATTTCTACCTGTTGTCTTCAAAAAACACATCTCAAGATAGTCTCTCAAGGAGAAACAAATATGTATGATTCCTTATACTAGTCTACTAAAATATAAGTACTATATAAAGCATTATTTTAAATTTTTCTTATAATTTCTTTATAGTGTAGGGCTACCACTCACACTATTCTTTGGTAGTAATTATGTAAGGCTCTTGAACATTATAGATCATTACTATTAACATGTTAAACTCTTCCTCATTATCAGGAGTTATAAAAAATATCTAATCTATTTTGGCTTCCTACAGGATAGTCATTCAAGGAAAACAGAGGTATGGGCTATAAACCTGTGAGATTGGGTCACAGACAAAACAACTAGGAGCCATTAAATAGTTACCCAATTTAAAATATGCCATGCCCAGAACAGATATATGTTGTAATAGTCTGAATTTTGAAGAGTTAACCAAAAGAGCATAAATATCTGAGTAACATTTTTATAGTAAGCACATATTGAAATAACATTCTGAATATATTGGGTTAATTAAAAAGTTATCAGAAATAATTGAACCAGTTTGTTCCTAGCTTTTCTACTGTCATTACTAGAAAATGTAAAATATCCATGTATGTCTCACTGTATTTTTTGAGCCATGCTTTTCTAGAGCACCTGAAACTATGTCTTGACCAGAATTTGGGCTCTGCTACAGATGTGCTGAAAGATTATCAGGCTACTTGTTTAACATCCTTAAATCTCAGTTGTGTATTATGAAAAGTAAGTTAATATTAAGCTGTTACTTGGAAAAAATTAAAAGTGTGTAGTCAAACTGCATAGCAAGTGTGTGTGGCACAGTTTTTAACACCTAAAGAGTGTGCTTTAGGCTAGTTAGGCTGACCGTCAAGGCAGGAGAGGTACAGTTGAGCTCTCTTTTTCATTCGGATGGATAAAATTCCATGAGATGCAGGTAAAAGAACTTTTTTAGCTCCCTACCCTAATTGAGAATTCAAGACATACTAGACAATTACACCATGGTGTTCTGAGCAACTAATCAACAGATGTTCAGAATTCTTTCCCCTATTCATTCATTTTCTTTACTACAAAAATAATCATGATGATCAAGGAAGGTGAGGAGAAGGAAGATGTGGAGTGTGTGAGAAAGCCAATATCTTTTATTTTACGATCCACAGTAAGCTGCCTCCCCTTCCCTTCCTCCCACCACCTGAAAGATTTGCCAAACAAGTCCATCATGTTAAATGAGCATGGAGAAGAATGACAGACTGCAACTGAGCGTGCAAAATAACACTGCCGATGTACTTGATAAACACACTTGTCAAGGAGCCTCTTGTTTTTCATACCCACTGCACAAAGTCAGCAAAGCTTCTCTTCTCTTAAAGTAATGATACCTCTCATTACCAGAGACTTCTCATTGTCCTCCTGCAGAATCTTATAAATCAACATTGAGCTGATGAACCCTATTAATTTTTCTCTGCTTTCATACATTGAATTGCCATTCTTGCATATGAAAAAAGAATCCATTCTTACCTCTGCAGCATTTCCAGCTATTCATTTTACTTGTGGCTGGGATAAGAATTGAACATGCACCTCCACAGCTATTAATAATCCCTGTGATCAGATATCTACAACCTTTTCTTCTTACTGATTGCCAGAACGTTTTTCTATGACATTTATAGTGGAACTTGCTTCAAAGCAGTGCTTGCACATTGAAAGGCCAGGGGGCATTGGCAATCTGGAATTCTGTATTGTAGAAGACCTTGCCTATATCTAAGTCTACATAACTCTACCTCTGCAAGGAAGGCTTTGTAAACTCTGACCTTTGCCTTATTTGCGATCTAATGTATTCCTAAGGATACAGCTCCACTTGGAACCTTCTCATGTAGTACTTGGTTATTCATCCCTCCTTTTCTGCCCCAGAACTTCAAAGTCGGTGCCTGAAGTTTCTTTATTGATTCTGAATTGCTTCTTGCAGGCATTCCCCTCACTCCTCCTTCTTGCTATAAAACAAAACAACTGCCCTCTGTTTTGAAGTACATACATCTCCATAAGACACATTTCTGTTGGGTTATTCCCATGCACCAACATTTGGAGCATCTCCTTTATGTTATGCATAGTGTGTGTGTGTGTGTGTGTGTCTGTGCATGCGTGTGTGTGTGTGCGCGCGTGTGTGTGTGTGTGTGCGCGTGTGTGTGTGTGTGTGTGGTGTGGATATACGATTTTCAAATTCATCCTTTCTCCCAAACTCTTACATCATCCTGAAGGATTTCAATGTTCACAGTAATGCTTATGTGCCAAATACTGTTCATTTGTGCCTAGCCAAAGCCTGTGTTTTCCATTTGATTAGTTGAAATCCATGCTGCCCACACTGCCTGAGAGCAGGGAACCAAATACTGCTTGAGAAATAAGTCAAAAGAAGAACAGCAGTCACATTTTTATGATTCTCAAATGTAAGTAAGTCTAGTCTTCGTACTATGACTTCACTTATTAATTAATACCTAGTGCTTCAGGTTTTTTATAATGACTTTTTAAAATATTCTTCCATAGAGTAAAAACCTTAAACATCCATATCTTTGCCCAAGAAGATGTCCTTGTGACTTCTGTTCAGAGAAAACAAATATAGACAAATTTTCTCTCATCATCTGACAACCCAGCTATAAGCCTATGTATACTTGCACATAAACTCTGATCTTAACTTTTGATAAAGCAATAGTGCTGGCTCTATGGGGTAGCTATTTCTTACATGGGTTCACATTTTTTTAACTTTCTGAGTAAGTTTATTAGACAACATGTACCTCTTTTCCTTTTGTCTTTCTTACCTTCTTTCTCCTTTCTGGGTCCTACCCATTAGCTTTCAATATATTCATCTTTGCCATTTAAGCAAAAGTAAACAACACTGGGTGCTGGTGGCTCAGGTCTGCAATCCTAGCTACTCAGCAGGCTGAGAAATGAGAATCTCACTTTGAAGCCAGCCTGGGTGGGAAGGTCCATGAGATGCTTCTCTCTCATTAACTGCTAGCACATATGCTCTCTCTCTCTCTCTCTCTCTCTCTCTCTCTCTCTCTCTCTCTCTCTCTCTCTCTCTGTCTCTCTCTGTTACACACACACACACACAGACACACACACACACACACACACACACACACACACATAAAAGAAGGAAGTGGAGCTGAGGCTCAAGCAGTAGAGCACTAGCCTTAAGTTAAAAATCTCAAGGAGAAAGCCCCAGGCCCTGGATTCAAGCCTCAGAATGCGTAATGCGTACATTACTCATATAACTGTAACCCCTCGGTACAGCATCTTTACAATAAAATAAAAAAGGAACTAAGACAATAACAAAACTACAGCAACCACAACAAGCCATACCCTCCTTGAGTCAGGACGTCTTCCTTACTACCCCTTCCTGCCAGAAATGTCTAAGGAACTGTATTTTTTACATTTCCTTCCTTTCACTCACATGCTAGTAGACCCTTGCTATAGCTGTGGCCTCCTATGTGCATCTCATTACAGTCACCAGGGATTTACAGGACCTAAAATGTATCACAAAGAAGGAGAAATTGTTCGCTTTTGTTTTTTTGGTGTTTATTGTTTGTTTCTTTTTGTTTTTGCTACTGGGGATCGAACCCAGGTCATTGCACTTGCTAGGCAAGTCCTTTGCCACTGAGCTACATCCCAGTCCACAGAAGGAGAATTTGTGATCCTTTCTTATCTGTGTCCCTTAGCCAAATCCTGCCATGTTAGTAAGACCTTCTATGAAATATCCAGTCCATCATTCCTGTTTTCTTTATCTCCTTGTCTGAATAACTGAATTTTCTTAACAGACTTCATTACTACCTGGTACCCTGAATTAAATGATAAGAGTTTCTCAAAGCGCTGACCCAGGAATTCTTTTTCCCCACCTAGGGGCTTTCATTCTAACTCTTGGCATAGGTTATTAGAAAATGGTTTACAGAGTCATACCATAGCCTAAAACTATCTTTTTAATTCCAAGGACTTCAATTTTATGCCTCCATTTTGGTGTCATAATGTACCATACCTCCTGAAACAAACAGTAAGTCTTTCAAAATAAATTGTGCATACAGGGCAGGGCCCTAGGTATTGTCACTGGCAATCTGCTTTTACTCCCTTCCTCCCTCTTACCCAGTCGGTCTCCCAGTGCTAGCTTCCAAAATCTATCTCTAACACATTTACTTGTCTCTTGTCTCTATCTTAGAGCTATTCCTCAGGCCTCATTCAATTTCTTCTTGTCTGGACAATAGTCTCCTAACTCTCTCTTCCCAATGCCCATAGCCTTTTCTTGTCTAGTTTCTGAAATTTTTACCTCACAATACAAAATTGATTGTGTCATTTCTACTTGTTAAGACATTTCAATGGAGCCTCATTTCTCTTAGGATAAAGACCAAGAGGTATTACAAGAC